ATATTAAAATTTAAACTTTAATCCAATTGAATATCATTTCTGAAGATTGTTATATCATCAACTATACTTAAGATTAAAAGAAAAATCAAACTCTTTCACCATGCATATGAAAACATTTCGTGATTATATGTGGATTGGGGAATCAAATTTGATTGTAATGTAATATTAATATAGTTTTAGGAAAGCTATTCCACCTAACTTTAAAAACTTCAGATTCTTAATTTGGAAGGTTGAATGACATAAACTGGCTTTGGGTCTTTCTCCAATTTCTTATTGGCTAGGCTAAACTTCACTATCAATTCTCGTTAGTGCTATAAATTATAACTACTATTTAGGGGAAAAAAATCAATATATGAACTCTAATCCATTATTATTATATGACTTTAATTCATATCCGACGTATTAAAAAAAAAGATATTTGGCATTTTTCACATTTAATTCTTGTGATTAAGAGACTTAAGAAAGATACGTGGGCGTGAATTCTAACCCTACCATCCCCCTTTCTCTACCGGCGTTTGCCCTCGTTTGAAGCAAAAAATAAAAAAGGACATTTGGCAACCATGCCTTTAGGGCATAGACAAGAGCATGAGTTGCATAGTTAAAGCCCCCCACTGTTGAATCTTACGTAAAAATATTTCTCAATGGTCTGTTGCCCACATATGTTTCATATATTTTTGCGTATATATAATGTTTTAATATCTGTATGTTTGCAAATATAATAAACAATAATTCTAGCAACTTTGAGCTTAATTTAGGGTTTTTTTTATGAGATAAATTTTAGCTTGTAAGTTGTAATGTATAAATGCAGATGAAATTATTGGAAAATATGGATGAATTAAAAATAAAAGTCGAGTCTAATCAATTTAAAAAAAAAACAGTTGCAATCTGACTTCAAAGGCCTCCAAATTAATTAGGGTTTTATTTTATCTGCCCCTCTTTTGAAGGCATAAAACTATAGAAGGGATTGAAGAAGTCAATTTCAATGTATCAATTTATAGTAGCTTACCTAACAAATAACATTCAAATTAAACCCAATTTCTTACTAAAATTTTTTTTTTTCTTTTTAGGGCACCTATTGCACTTTTTTGAGATAAAAAAGTATTTGAAAATTTATTTTTGGAAAAAATGAGTTGACTATAGATGGGATTGTCTTGGTCAGAATACATCCATTTCATGTGAAAATTTTGGACTTCATGACAAGTTTTAGCCATTTTCATGTGATTGTTGATTTACAAATTGGATTACTTACAGTTTTGATTTTCTTCTTTCTAAAGCAACGAGACCTCATACTCTTTAGCTCCCTCCTACTCGAAGGTACTCTTTTAGAAGTTTTTAATTTTTTTGGTTTAAGAAATGGCATTACCTTTATAAGAGGGAAAGAAGAGAAAATCTTGATTAGAAACTAAAATTTTTATATCTTTTTTTATATTAATTCGGTTTAGTCGAAATGAAATAAGTTTTTTATATAAATTTTGAAGATTGAATTTATTCAAAATTTTTTCTATTAATAATATTTTGTTTAATTTTAATTTTTAAATATATTTAAAAATAAAAATATTTTTATATCTTTAAATATTCTCTTTTTTTTTTTTTTAAAGTCCTTTTAGGTCCAACCAATTAAACTAAGTTAGATCCTAAACCAGGCTACTTTGGCCTGACTCGACTAACAGTACAAAAACCAGCCCCTAAGCCTGGACAAGAACAAGAGCGAATCCTAAAATCAAACCTTGTTTGCTCCGTGTACATCTGTACTTGCTGGCACCGATTATGAAATGAAGTCAGGAGCGTAGCTAGGGAAGGCTGGCATGGACTATGGATGAAAAGAATAAATAAAAAAATAAAAATTAATTTAAAATTATAATTTTTGATTTAGTTTGGATTATTTTTTATTTAATTTGAATTAAGTTTAAATATTAAATATATGTATTAAATTAGATTAAATTTAAGATTAGTATATAAAAATAAAAAAATCAAATCAAATTATATATATTTTAAATTTTTATAAAATAAAATAATTATTTTATATATAAATTATAAAAGTATATTAAAAATTTTATTAAAATAATATATAAAAAACAAAAAAAATTAAAAATTAGTGAATCGAATCTAATTAAATCAATAAAATTTAATTCAGATCAAATTAATTTTAATAAAAGATCAATTTGAATTTGAGTATAATTTTAAAATTATATTATATATTATTCAAAAAAATTAATCTGATTTGATACAAATTATTATCCATTTTGGACTACGATTTTTTGTTTAAAATTTTTTTTATATTATTGTAACATAATATCTTATTTTATCAAAAATAATGCTTAATTCTTTCTCTTTCAATAAAATTGCTATTTAGCTTCATATGTATATATATATATATATATATATATATATATATATATGGCTTCCCCTCTGGATGAAGTGGAACAATTCAACGTGGAGACTTGAGGAAAGTAGCATAACTACTTCAGATGATGTCGGAGACAATAGCATTCATTTTCGTCCTTGAAACATTGAAAACGTCGGAGAGATTCCCGTAACAACTACAGTTGACAAAATAGACACATAGAGACAAAAAAGCAAAATGTGATACGAAAATTTACAGGAAAAATAATGCAAGTGTCCAAAATCTTAATTAATCAGGAAAATTATATTTATTTATTTTTTTCAAATTAGAATTAGAATTAAATATTATATTCATATATAATGAATTTAATAAGAAATTTTTATGTCATAATCAAATTATAATTATTGAATAATTAATTAATAAATCAAAATATAATTCCCATATAATAAAACTTAAATTTAATATCTTAGGATTTTATGATTTTTCTTTACCATAAAGTCAAAATATCAATGTAAAAGGAATCAATGTTTTGAAATATTATAAGATAGCGTGGAACATTAGTCGCATTATCTTAATCTTTTTCACTTTTTTAATCAAGCATTTTGCATGTATGCTTAGCTGTTTTTTAAGTCTCTTCAAATGATTTTGGTTTGAACTCAGTTTCAAATCTTAACCTCTTTTTTTAACAATGTTTTAATTAAAAGAATCAATTTTTTTAAAATAAAAATGTGATTATAGATATTAAAATTTAAACTTTAATCTCATTAAATATTATTTCTTAAGAGGACTGTATCACAAGCTATGCTTCGAATTAAAAAAATCAAACTATTTCACCGTGCATATGAAGGCATTTCACGGTTATGTTTGGATTGGGAAATCAAATTAGCTTGTAATGTAATATTATAGTTTTAGGAAAGCTATTCCACCTTACTTTAAAAAAGTCAGAGTCTTAATTTGGAACATTGAATGACATAAACTAGCCTTGGGTCTCTCTCAAATTTTTCATTGGCTAGGCTAAACTTCATTCTCAATTCTCGTTAGAACTATTAATTATAACTACTATTTATGGTCAACATTCTATATATGAACCCCAATCCATTATTACTATATGACTTTAACCCATCTCTAGTATATAATTTTGTATTAGAATTTAATCTTTAAATTTCAAATTCAAATCCCACTGTGAATAATTTTTGTATTAAATTTTATTAATTAGTATATGATAATAGTTTGTTTATTAATATATATATACACTCGCGAACTATTAAATTGAATAACCAATTCTTTTTTCTTAATTGCTTCATAGATTTTTTAAAAATATGCTTATAAATTATTTTTTTTAATGAGTAGCTAAACAAAATAGGTTTCAAACTTTATAACTTTTCAATAATTAAATGATGGTAAGCTGTAATATCATGTCAAGTTGGATGATCAATTTATCCAACTAAGTGTGGAATATAAAACAATAGGCTTGTGATTATCATTTTTATTTGTACTTATAATTTCATAAAAAAAAAAAAATTAATACATAGATAAGTTTGGACTATCTTATTCAATGTCAATTTTGTTCTAGATTTAGAGTCGAATATCACAGGAAACAAACAAAGAAAAACTTACAATGGTAGACTTTTTAGTACAAGAGAAAGAATAATCTTATTAAAAATTCCTAATTATTAAATAATTTACAATTTTACACAAGTCATTGTGCTTGATCTAATCATGTTTAATTTTCGTTATTGGCTATAACAAGATTCCCCTTCCACTTTATCCATTGGTTATAATTAAGAATTTAAGAACTATGGCCATGCAAACTGCAAAATTTTCTCAAGAAATCATAATAAAGAAGATTTGAATATGTCACCCATGGCGGAAAAATTGAAACATTAAATTTCTAAGTTACGAATGATTTGGCACACATTCCAGTAAACAAACCTATTCTTTTGACCAAAATAAAGCAAGTATTATGTCCTGTTTGACAGTGACAGAAATAGAAAAACCTGGAGAAACTGGAGGCTTTAACTTGACAAGGCTCGTATTAGTCTCGGTTACTACTGTTGTGAGAAGCTTTCGATTAACTGAATCAAATTTATATATTCGCATTGTATTAAATATAAATTTTTATTAATAATTTAAATATATAAGTTGACGAATTAACATGATTTTAAATCAAATCGAAACGTCATGGTTTTAGAACTATTTTGCCAACAGTGTCTCATTCTCAATAATTTAGTAGGAGAGTTCATGAAAGCCAACTAAGATTCTAAAAGATAATGCTTTCCTTGAAGGGATATCATTTTTTTATTTAATTTGCTTCTTTTTGAAGAGAAGTAGTCAAATTGAACTGTATTTTCATTATTATAAATCTGGAGTCTTCACCAAATCATAAATATTTGATTAATTAGGCTGCTCCAATGTGGACCATGGCTTTGAAATTTTGCTACTAACAACACTGCCCTTCTTGACAAATTCATGTGAAACACATCAAGTCGTTGGGGAGAGATATTTTCAAAGAAAAACGCGTTCTACACTTTTTCTGGAATAAATTATCAGTCTAAAACCAGTGTTTCAGTTTTAATTTATATTTGTTTCTGATAACTTTTACAACGTAAAATTTGCCATGCATATTTGAAGAGTCTACGTGTTAGGTAACCTGCCGATAGTGTTTTTGAGAAAATCTCTATATAAAGTAATGGTTTGCCACAGTTTGTTTCCAAGCCATAACACATTCAAATTCTATACTGTTCTATTTCTAAATTTCTAATACTAATATGGCTTCTGCTTCTTCGTTTCCGAAGTTTTCTCTCACTTTGCTTCTCCTTCTGCTTGTCTTGGGAAGCACCAATGCTCAACTTTCAACAAATTTTTACTCCAAATCATGCCCAAACTTGTTTTCCGCTGTGAAATCCACTGTTCACTCTGCTATAATGGAAGAGCTCCGGATGGGTGCCTCTCTGCTTCGATTGTTCTTCCATGACTGCTTTGTTAATGTAAATTCTTCTTCTCCATTTCTTCCATCATGAAATTTACATATTACTTCGAAAATCATATGCATGTTCACGACCTAATTTCATTTTTAACGTTACTCTTCAAGCAAAAACATCGCGCACCAATCATTGAGCCAACTGCTTGGAAGCATGGCCTAATTTCTTTACGTGACAGTTTTTACATAAATAAATTTTGCCACAATTTTGCATATAAACTAGATAAAAAAAAAGTCAAATACTATATCTTTTATGGATAACAACTCTTATGTCTCAAGATTTTTACCTGGATTTTTTTTAAATAATGTTTTAGGATCATGGCCTCATTGTTTGACCTATGTCAAAAAGGACAAAAAAAAAAAACAGTTGGTTGGGATTTAAAAGTAAAACTTTTCAAAGGAAACTGACCAAATTGGCATCTATCTCTATGTTACATCTAAACTCTAAAGGCTTGACTTACTAACCTTAGTAATGTTTTTTCATGGTGTTAATTTAATGTTCCTGATAGGGATGTGATGGATCATTGCTACTCGACGACACATCTTCCTTCACAGGAGAAAAAAATGCAGCCCCAAATCGTAACTCTGCTCGCGGATTCAATGTGGTTGACAACATCAAGTCTGCAGTCGAGAAAGTTTGCCCTGGTGTAGTTTCATGTGCTGATATCCTGGCTATTGCTGCTAGAGACTCTGTTAAAATTGTAAGAGTCCTAAATTTTTTTCAAGCATCTTGGTAAAAATTTTAATTATGCATGTAATTGAGAGAATACCCTTTCTTGGTTTGTAGCTGGGAGGCCCCTACTGGGATGTGAAACTTGGAAGGAGAGATGCCAGGACTGCAAGCCAGGCAGCTGCCAATAACAGCATTCCTCCCCCAACTTCTAACCTGAACCGACTCATCTCCAGGTTCAATGCTCTTGGACTTTCCACCAGGGACTTGGTTGCTTTATCTGGTTTGTCCTCTCTCATCTGTCATTTAAAAAAGAAAATCAATTTTGACTATTATAACTAGAATATATATTTGGCTAATACCCATATGCTGGACTCTTAATTTTAGTTATAAAAAAATTAATCATGATAATGTCAAATATAAAAAAAATTATATAGACATTTAATACAACATCAGTGACTCGCTTGTCGTCACGTCATTGAAACATTGTACTAATTTTGGTATTGTGAAATTCAGGGTCACATACAATTGGACAAACAAGGTGCACATCATTCAGGGCCCGCATATACAATGAGAGCAACATTGACAGCTCCTTTGCTCAAACAAGCCAGAAAAACTGCCCAAGAACATCTGGCTCAGGGGACAACAATTTGGCACCACTTGATATCCAGACTCCAACATTTTTTGACAACAACTACTTCAAGAACCTAATAAACAGGAGAGGACTCCTCCACTCTGATCAAGAGCTGTTCAATGGTGGCTCCACGGATTCCATTGTTCGAGGTTACAGCAACAACCCAAGTTCCTTCAGTTCTGATTTTGCTACTGCCATGATCAAGATGGGAGACATTAGTCCCCTCACTGGATCAAGGGGAGAGATCAGGAAGAACTGCAGGAGGGTGAATTAATTGATGAGTTGATGGATGCTTTGTCTTTGGAATAAAAACAAATAGTGATGGAAATTTTGCTTCTCAAGTGGTTGTATCAATTTACATTATTCATTAGGCTTGTGTGCGTTCTTTTATGTTTTCCAAATTGTTCAATGGCTTAGGTCCTGCTGCTGAGACTGTGATCAAAAAGTGACCTTGGTTAGAATAAAAAGTATTTGAGTATTAATATAAAGAAAATTTCTCTTTTGCGTTAGGCCATTATTATTTTTTCTCCTTTTAATTTTTGAATGCTGGTGAGATCATTGTGAGATCGTATGCAAGTTACAAGCTACGAAAGCAAAACCATGCCCGGCATACGAGCTTGAGTTGATTCGAGCTGATTTTGTATAAAATTAATTTCAAGCCTACCTAACTGGAAATGTTTTTTATTAATAAAGACCATTTTTATTTAAATTTAATTTAAAAATAGATTTAAAATATTATAATATTATAAAAATGATTTTTAATATTTTAATATTATCTTAAATAGTAATGGGCCTAAACAAATTTAATGGCTAAGTCTTGTTGGATACTTGGGCAAACTTTTAAAATTGTCAAAGCAACCTGATAAAGTCCAAAGCAGCAAATGAACACATTTTATGTAATTAGGGGATCATCTCAAATTGGATTAAGCCAGAATGGACCAAGCCAGGGTTTTTGATTCTTAATTTATTTGCACTTGGTAAATGTTTCACAGGGCCTCGCCATTTTAGGCCAGAAGCCCACTGAACTAGGACGACAGCATTAGTAGCACAAGCTGTTAGCCCATACTACTGTGTTTATCCCTTCTTTTTTCTTTGATTGATGTTTTGTTCATGCCATATTTTTGTATAGCATTTCACCCCATTTTTACTTTTGAGATGAGATGTTAAGCAACTAATTAGATTAATACAGTTTTTTGTAGTTTTTCCTCGATCAAAAAATAAAAAAATATTTGTACCCTTTGAGCTCAATAAATTAGTAACAAAACTACTTTTTCTCGAATCCACGACTTTAAAAACTTTGATCAATTTGCATGCTATTTGAATTAATATTTAATTGACATAAATGTGACTTAATTGAATATAAATCAACAAGTTTACAATAATAATTAATTGGACATGGGTCAAACTCCAATAGGAAATGGTATCTTGCTTTGAAGAAAGTAGAAAAGTGATGGAGTGAAAGAGAAAAAGAAGAGACCATGATAATGATAGAAAGAGAATATTATACCAATGCCTATTGGTTTGAGTGGCAAGAAATTCGGTTTCTCTTTAAGTAAGATTTCAATTTTAAATTTTGTGAATGAAAAAAATAAATTTGAAAAAATTTATTTTTCTTATGAAGTTCGACTTCGGATTAATCATGGCTCAAAATGATTACTGAACATCAAAAAATTCAATATATATATATATATATTATTATTATTATTATAGGTCATGTTGTTGACATTGAAATATTGATGTTGCGTAGTGAGGGACATAGCACACTAGATTTTGCTTCACAAATCACAACAATATAAAAAATTCAGCTTTGACAATTAGAGCCTTAAAAAATTGATGGTTTAGATCACATATTTTATGAAGGATTAACATTTTTCTTGGTTGACTTAATTATTTTTTTGTTGATTTTTTTTAATTAATCAGGCTTATGTTTTTGATTATATAACAAGCTAAAATGTCAGATGATACCGTAGAAAAATTTAAGTAATTGGGATTACTTAATTTAACAAGAAAACTTATCAAGAACTTCCGCAGGTGATCAGTATATAAATATTATTGTAAAACAACATCTGACATCTAAGAGAAAAGTTGTTACAATTTTTATTTGGTAGATGACAGCTTAATCTACCAGAAGCTGCCAGTCCAATATTAATGCCAATATCAGTCAGAAACTCTTATATATTTCTTTCTTGCTTGCTTTCTGATCATACAAGAATTTTCTGTAATAATCTAAGCTTAAGAGTCTTCAGACATCATTCCCTAAGAACATCCCAAATATATGTGTAACAGCTGTCTCTGTCCTAAGTTGCAAAGATTCCTCTTGTCATTATCTTATATAATTACACCATTTTTAATGTAATTTTTAGAGTATTAATCCCTAAAAAATCTCAACGTTTATCCTTTTAGAGAGATTTCAAGGCAAACATACTTAAGACATTGGTCATTGGGTAAGATCAGCCTAGGATGCTGTTGTTCACACATCTTTTTCACCATCATCTTCAAGTTGCCTTAGAGCTGAGCTATGTGCTCCTCCTACTCTACTAATTTGCCTCCAATTTTGACCAAATCTCTCTCCAGCATATCTAATAACAATTTTTTTTTTCTTTTTCAATGACTTGAAAAAATAATCCATTTTAGCCTTTTTGCTCATCTAACCAAACTCCTAGCTAAATTGACTAAGAAGAAATATTGAACGGTTTGACTGGTTATAGTGATCACTCATTTAATTTGTGAGGATGCAAAATCCCTCATAATATATGTTAAATTTCCATAGTTTAATTTAAACAGTTATAAAATGTGTAAATTGACATATGAACATTTGATTCAGTTGTAAATGTAAGTATTCGTTGTTCAAGAGTAAGTTGTAAGTTTGAATTCTCAAAATAAAACCTAAAATGGTTTCTTAGCTTGGCTTATTAATCTCAACAAACTATCTTGCCTCTCTTTTTTTATCATTGAATGCCACACTATTAATGATCACAAATCACAATATATACAACTCCTCTCCGTTTCTAAACAGTTTCCAACCATCCTTTATTGAATAGAGACCAAAGATATTGTGGAACTTGGGGAGCAGATGGTGAAAGGAAGAGTATAGAAATGTAGAATATCCTTTTGATTATCTTTTACTTATGGGTGAAATATTGTTAAACAAAAAATTTAAAAGGAGTTACATAGGGACAAGGTGAGATGCCATCATTTCAAGCAACCGTGACATTAGACCAAATCCCATCACATCCCTTGGGATTATAGAGACTCAACAATAGGAGATCTACATATAAATATATATATATATATAATTCCATTGAATGTAACACACAATAAATACTACATACGTATATAGGTATCAATTTATGTATCCATATACATTCATTTATGCTTATGTGCATCGATAAAGATTATATATATATATATAGTTATTTGTACTAAATTGAAGTGATAATGGTGAGATTAGATGTGAATCGAGAGAATATGAATTTAAATCGTAATATTTTTTCTTTTTCTTTGTATAAAAGAAGGTCCCCCATAGATAGCTTGCTTGCTTAAACAATTGAAGTTCCTAAATCCTTCTTCCTTCAGGCTGAAATCCACACGCCAAGGAAACCCATGATTGAGCAATATAATCTTAGCTAGCTGGCACCATCATTGACTATCCAACAAAGACACAGTTATATGTACATCAACTACACCATATATTGTAGCTTTCATAAGGACCAAGATTTGCTTACTTTTCACTAAATACCAGCTGCTTTCAATTTCTTCATAAGATTATCTGCTTGCAACATTATTCAAGTCTCCAAAATATTTTCTCAACTTTTGCCCAAACCTTGAGAAGTGCCAACCAATAATTGAACCTAATTCATCAGTGAGTTAATGGGGTTAGCATCCTAGCTAGATTCTTGCTAGGTCCTATACTGTGGAGCTTGAAGAGAAATTCATATGTTAAAATTTGCAATTTAGTTAGAAGCTTAAGCATATGCATCCATAGTGTTGTCAAATGGAATTAATGAAACTTGTTTTCTTATTCCTTGTAAAATCTATGAAATTTTTGGGTGGAAAATTAAAAAAAGACCACAAAGGAGGGTTCTCAGTCTAGCATTTGAATCCAAGCTACAATAATATACTATAAGTTACTATTAATCACGTGATTTGTTGATAAAGTGCTGAACTCTTAGTTTCAATAATTAAAGTTCAATCCCAAGCAACTTTTAAGTATAAAAAAAGTTGCACAAAAATAATATACTAAGGTTGCTAGAGTTTCAACAGTAAGAAGGTTGAAAAAGGCCAAACCTACAAAAATCTTTGTACAACCAAGAATTAACATAGGCACAAAAGAGTGAAATATCTTTAGCATTAGAACATAATGAACACTAGTACCTAGACATTAAATTAACAAAAATTTAGAAGTTATAAGTATATGTTTGTAACAATCATCTATTACAAGCCAAAATGAAGAGAGGTAAAAGGAGTTAATAAATGAGAAAACAGATTTTATTTGCATATTTTCAACGATCCATACACAAAAAATAATAATTCTTAGAAGTTTCTAACCTACTCGGGATGATCACAACAATACCTTTTGTCTACCCTAACATCATGTATCAGATCCTTCAATGACACAGAATAGCATGTGCTCACAGTCTTTGCTTCGCGTGCAATGAATTCACACTTGTTTCTTCCCCAACACACAATCAAAAATTCAAATAGGATCTGCCAATTTTACTTAACAAAATATGCATTCTCAATTCTCTTTTCAATGCCACTTAGTTTACTTCTAGGGTTTGATATCTCATTTCACTAACATTTCTACTTCACCAAAGAAAGAAATTAAAATAGAAGCTTAAGAAAACTTATGCATTTGGTTTAATAGTAGATGCATGCATTTTATTATATTAAAAATCTAGTTTCGAATCCCCTAAATACAATAAATTTTTTTTAAAGAGAAGCTTAATACATAGATGTATAATTGACATGCATGTCACTATGGAAAAAAGAAATTAATTCATGTGGCCATAGAATATTCTCCCTGCCCCATATGGTAGTGACCATATTATTCATTAAGGAAAACAATAAAGAGAAGTGGCAAACAAGAAATTGTATATGATAAGAAAACAATGTAGAGGAAAGAAACGCGTCAACCAATTAACAATTATAGGTAAAGGCATATATGGACTAAATAAAACGAAGCAATGAAAAAAAAAATACTCATCTTCTCTTTTTATTCCATTTTGCTTCATGATAGAGAAAAATAAATGGGATATTTTGATATCAGTCTAGCTAGGAAATTAATAATTTTATCCAAAGTAGGAAACATTTTCATTTGAACTGGTGCTGTAGTTGGTGTACATGGAAGAAGTAGAAGTAATAGGAAAAGGAGGTGGTGGTGGTGGATGTGTTGGGGCTGGTGGTGGTGTAGCAACAGAAATGGCCCCAGAAGAGAGCAGGGCTACATGGGAAGAGGGCATAAGGTTAGCTTCCCTATACTTGTAGTTTAGTAACTCAGCCCTTACTGCATTTAGTTCAGCTTGTAAAGATTGAACTTGCTGTTGCAAAGCTGAAATTGCACCCATGCACCCGTAAACAGGATCTCTTAGCCTCACATTAGCCTCATAAACAAGACTATTCGCTGCGTCAGCTCTTTGGCTTTCCGGTACTTCCTGAATTACACCATGAAAGGCATCATTAGAACAAACCAAAGAAAAAGAAAAAAAACAAAAAACAAAAAGGGACTAACTAAAATTAGTGTCGTCCCAAGACATCTAATAATATTCAATAACTGTGTTATGTTGACTGAGCTATTAGTTTCCGTAATCAAGATTTACTGTAAACAAGATTTAATCCCGATAGCCTTTTATATACATATAAATATAAGTATATTGACAAAAATTTGGTTTTTAATTACCATAAGCATCTTTGAGACATTGCTGGCACCGAAGACTTTGTGAACAGAAGCAAACTTTTGGGGTTCATGGGGGGAGAAATAAGGAGAAAAAGGGCATTCTTGAGCACACCTACGCCTTAAGAGTTTGCAGGCTGCACAAGGAGTAATAGTATTTAGGGTTCCCGGAGGACCCAACATGTGTCTTCTTCCCATCTGATGATGAGATGAAACATCTGCTTCTCTCTTGATCTTCTTGCCTATCTCATCAAATCTCTCCCTATATATAACACCAAGAAAAAAACTAAAAAAAAAGGAGTAATTACTTTATATTTATACCAACAGATTAATTTAATTATATAAATGAATCTTGTTATAGGAAGCAATTAGGCCACTAAGTGTACATTCTCAATTAGTCATCATAAAAGATAATTTGATTTCTACTTCTTACCTTTCTCTGGACATTCAGGCATGCTCTCAAGTATATATGGAGAACAATTTTCTCAGGCTGAGGGAAAGAGAGAGTGGAAATGAAAGGAAAAAAAGGACGAAAAAGAAAATGAGAGAAGGGAGGAAAGAGTGCTTAAAAGGCAAGATATACAAAGGGTGTGTCCGGTATTTATAAATAAAATGGGATAGACAAAAAAGAGGCAATAATATTGAGTTAAGAATAGAAACAATAGTTTCTCCTCCTTGTTAAAGTTGATGTACGTACGAGGATTCCTCGAATTATAATTTGCTGATGACAGCAAAAGGAATACCAGATATCGTACTTTGAAAGAACTCTTCAAATTCAATGGAGGCTGATATGGGGAGATAGAGAGAGAGAGAGAGAAATTGAAGAGCTGATGCTGTCATTTGCAGTATAAATGACAGCTCTATCACTGCTTGCTCACGTGCGACTCCTTAAATGTGTTAAGACTTTTGGAAAATCAAACTATTCAAATTGGCTTTGCCCCATGTGGTCGTTGCTTGCTTCTTCCTCAGGAGAGACCCAAATCAAGCTAGTCACTTTTATTTTATCAACTATAATAAAAAACCCTTTTTCTTTTTTTTTTTCTTTAAATATCACTACCTACAATCTTTGATGTATGAATTTGGCGAAGAGCTAGAAGAGTTTTTTAAGTAAAGTTTGAGAAATTTCCTATTAAAAGTCATTGAGTAAAATTTTAAATTTAAAATCCATAATGATAGATTAAAATATTACATTATATAAATCAAATATATAAAATTTAATAAAATTTAATAAATATTTATATTATATTTAGGTATATATTTTTGTTAAATATTTTGATAAAGTTTTTATCATTTAATAAGTATTTATCAAGTTTTGACTATATATAATATTTTTAATAGTATTTATCAAATTTTCATATCAAATTCTATCCATATATAAGTTTTAGATTTTCAAAATAACTTTCTATGCAATCATTTTTAATAAAAATTTTCATGATTTTTATTTTAAAACTAACATCACCTTGCAATATGTAAGTACCATTTTGCATATATGCTTTTGAAGTAAAGAATATTATTTTTAATAATATGAAACAATTTATTTGAACTAATTTTGGTATAGTGATTAGGTTTATATTCCTGGAGAGAGGGTTTAGAAATGAGCCTCGATCTTTTTTTTTTTATATAATTTAAGCCAAATAAAATTTTCTTTTGTTACAATTACGTTAAAAATTAATTTTTAATCACTGAAATAAAAGGTGACATCTGGGATTTAAATCCTAATATTTATAATCATATCTTCTATCTTTTGCTACAACCTTATGTGAAAAAATAAATAAATAAATAAAAGTTTCAGCACTTTACTAACCGATTACATAGTTATTAAAATTTATTCATGAGATAAAAAGGTTAGTCCACAAGCCTAATTAATTAAGGAGGATCATGCATCTAGATGGTCCTAATTACAATTAGAAAAAACTTTTTTTTTTTTTTTTTGCATGTTGTGTTAACAATATTGCAATTAAAACAAGCTATATATCAAAGGTTAGGTTATGAAAGTCGAATATATATTTGGATGAGCATAGAAATATAGTTTCTTAAGGGCAGGCATATTAGTTTCTTGTCAATATCAAGAACCCATCTCCTCTAAAAAGACCAAATCCGGGATCTAGTTCCGAAAATGAAATTTTTATTATTATCAGAATTGCCGTGTATTACCCGCAATTTGTTCTTTCAACATGGCCAAGAGACCTTATATTTCAGACATTGTGACAATGAGTGTAGCCTCATTTTGAAGATTTTAATTAATTAATTAAATTATGCTAAGCTAGCTAAATAGCATCAATGAACCGTTAATTCAGTAACATTAGAGTTGGTTTTAGAACTGAAAATCTCGAATTCGGAAAAAAAAAAAAAATCTAGATAACATGAAACATATATTATGTATGTAAAAAAAAAAAATCAAAAGTTTGAGGTGTTAATAAGAGTTTGAACTCTAAATTAACTACTACATATAGTTTTAGAAAAAAAATGTAATATTATATTTTGAAAAATTCAACCTAAAACTTAAAACTGATTATCAAAATTAGTTCTCTTCATGAATCACTATGCTGTCAATTGATGCTCATAGAAAAAGAAAATTACACTAGACTGTCAATTGATGTTCATAGAAAAAGATTGAACAACCTCAAGATTATAGATCTTTTGTAGATAGCAAAACATGGTTTCATGAGGAGATTGATCACATGCTCATATATAGAAAGACAGCCCACCTACATTTTCACAAATGGAAAGCATTACAATTCAAGAATTTTACTTCCCCCCTCCCCTTCTTTTTAACCTCAATACTATACATAAAAAAGGGATGCAATTTTCACAAAGATAATTTCACTTCTGATACTTTAAGTTTGGAAAAATATATATCGGTATGTAAAGAATTAAAATATATAATTTGCACCATAAAATTTTAAATTATGTATTATTTAATTCAAATTCTAATGCTATTAACTGAACTTATCTATATAGTATCTAATTAGTATAATTTTGTTATATATATGTTATTTATTAAATAAAAGTATTAATATTTTGAAAAAACTTCATGTGAATGTTGCATGACAAATAAAAATTGATTGATCTTAGATAAATTTTACGGTTTAGATAAAAAAATCTATATATTTTTTATTTATATTGAAAAAAATACGTTAAAGGTATATGTGGTGAATATATAGTTTGATAATATTTATCAAATGGCAAATATATAAGCTGATATGATTAAAGGGTTTAAAGTTTGAGTTAATAGATACATCATTTGAAAGTTCAAATGCAAATCGTTCATTTTAATTCTTTTGATACCAATTTTTACATGTTCTCAAAGTTCATATACAAAAAATATAAGTAACTCTTTTGCACATTAATTTTACTTTCAAATTTATTCATGTGACAATGTATTCTTTCTTTAATAATTTTTTGATCTTATATCAAAATACATAATATATATAACAAATTAATTGACTTTTCATCCAAAGCTTAACAAGATAGAATGCAATTTGTTATATATCCTATTTATATTTTAAGATTTATTACGTGTGTATTTGGGTTAATTTTATATTAAATTTGTCCAATTACTTATTTTCATTAATTGGTTTAATTGTTTTTGTTTGATTCATTAATTTTTTATATGTGATGTAATACTTGATTATAATTATAATTTCTATTTGTATTTGTAACTTAAAAAAATAATATGAGGGTTAGATTTTAAGGAAATGTTAATTTTTATAGAGAATTGGAGAAATTGGGGTTTTGCTTGGCTGTAATTTATGAGAAATGTTATATCAAAGTAGGTGGAGAAAGGGAGGGGGGAAAGGGTATAATTAGGAGAGGCTATAAGATTAAACAAGGGATAAATTTGCTTAGATTTTAAGGAAAATGGCACCATCCATTCTTCTTTGACCTGTATTTTATGGCTTACAAATCGCCCCATTGTCCTCAAATCCCCAACCTAACTCTTTTTCTCTATATTTCCCTTTGAACTAAAATCCCAAAACTCACCCACTTTCACTATTTACAATTGTAAAAAGCACTGTCTTAGAGGAAAAAATTTAGATAAAATTTTTTAGGTGAAGTTCGTACAGTTTTCAATTAAAAATGATTGAATAAAAATTAAAATAAAAAATTAAAATCGATAAATTAAAATGTCTTGTTAGATAAATTAAGCGTGCAAATTTTTAAAAAATTTTAAAAAATTTTGCTATATATTTTTAGATGACATTTTCAATAAAAATGTTGAGATAATTTTTACAGTTAAATAAATATCGATCAAATTTAAATTGTAAACAATATTTTTAATATTTTATTTTTGCATATTATTGATCTTCACATTAAACTCTATCAATCTATAGATTTGAATTTTTTTATTAAAATTTTTATTAAATCATTTTTAAAAAGGAGCTTCACAAATTTCATCTAAAAAATTTCATATAAATTTTCTCTCTAACCTTAAACCCTTAATAAACCCTAAAAAAAGAGCTCATCTTGGTGTTTCAAAAAAAAAAAAAGAAGCTAGTCTTAATTATAGGATATCCAAGCTGATTTCACCTGTTATTTATTTTTCAACTTATATTATACCAAACAAACATTAATTGTTTCAAATCTCAAAATATAGGTCAAAATGCATGCATGCTAAATCTGGAAAAATTAAAATGTACAGGAACATGGGACCTAACTGTTGTTGTCATATCCACAAACTCTTTGAATATTTTTGGCCTAATTAGTTAGACAAAATCAGGGTTGTAAAAGCAGATGATGACTTGACTTTTACCTAGAAATACCTGCTGATTTAGATTAGTTTCTTTCTTTTTTCCATTCGTGGATGTTGTCCAAGGTTGAATCCAAATTAATTCGGCCATCAGATCAACTCATCTTTGCGGGACTAAATTATATCACCAAAGTCGAAGATAATTCATTCAAAATCTCAAAAGATTTGGTAAGATATTTGTTAGACATAATTTGAAAATGATTAGATATTATTTAATGAATAAAAAAAATTATTAGATAAAAATTTTTAAAAAATAAAAATTATTGATTGACAAATTAATAGTTTTATTTTCTCTTGTATGACTAATTTATTATTAGATGATGCTTCCGCTTAATAACCGATTGATTAAGGCTTTTGATTTAATAATTTTAAGTTTCGAGTCATATTTTTATTTATTAATTATTTAAAAGAAAAGGGCGTTGTATGGATTTTTTCGACATATCTCATTATATGTAAATTTGGTTTAATTGCATTTATTTTGCATATATTTAAGTTAAATAAACAGTAAATTAGGAACCTATAATAAATTAGTAAGAGGTTTATTCGTAATTACCTATTGCTTCAACTCAAATTATATTCAAGCAATTGTCAATTAGAGCCAACATAAATTGATTACATTCAGAAATTTTTAATTAAAAAAAATACTGAAAAAATCCTGTTAATAATATTTCTCATGAAAAAGAATTTGCTCAGTTTTTGTACTAAAATACTGATAGATTACATATATAATGTTAAATTTTTAATTAAAATATGCTTGCATATATTTTATTATAAAATTTTTAATTTTCAC